AGGCTATAACTAAGTTCGAATGATCAGAGTGAGGTGATAAATCAGGAAGGCCTCAATTAACGAGCTTTCTGCACACTCATAGTGACACATTTAAGTAGCATTTTGAAAGCTTCCTTGTTTTATTTTTCTTATCATTTATATATCTTTTCTCCCCAACTTGACTATAAGCTCCTTCAGGACCCAGGGACCACATCTGATATTTAATGATGTTCCTTATAACACATAATACATATAGAAGGGACAGGAAGGTATAAACAGCTGGCTAGGTAGCACAGTGAATAAAGCATTGGACTTTGAATCAGGAAGCCATGAGTTCAAATTCTGCCTCAGACACTGACTAGCTGTGTGACCCTAGGCAAGTCAACCCCAATTGTCTCAAACCCCCCCCCACCAAAACAACCCCACACACATTGCAAACACACACACACACACACAAAATCAAGGAAACCAAATCCACTTTTGAACAACTCTAGTTGTTACTAAATTTTCCTGATATTGAGTCTAAGCTAGTTTCTTTTCAAATTCCACCCACTGCTCGGAGTTCTGCCTCAGGGGCTAAACAGAACAAATCTAATCTCTCTTCCACAAGACAACCCTTTAACTACTCAAACAAAACTCAAAGTTTTTATATTTCTTCAAGCCCAAATCCTTCAACCAATCCATCTTCCTCATCCTGGCTGCCTCCTCTGAACACACAAAACTCCAGATGAAGTCTGATAAGAGCAGAATATGACTCTGTTATGACTTATGCACATCACTTCACACAATAGACCTTGGTTTCCTCTTCTGTAAGATGAAAAGGCTGAACCAGATGACCTGGACAGGGACTTCCCACTCTAAATCTATGATTCTATGACTTGCCCAGGTGATGAAATGTTAATATGACAGTGAGTCATGAACTGAAGTCTCCTGATACCAGCTTAGTGCTCTTTCCAATAGAAACCACCTTCAAATACAACTTTAAGGTTTACAAAGATGTCCTCAGAAGAAATTTCTAGGGTAGATTAGGGGTGAGGAGCCTTCGACCTCAAGGCCACATGTGGCCCTCTAGGTCCTGAAGTTTGGCCCTCTGACTAAATCCAAACTTCACAAAACAAATCCCTTTAATAAAAGGATTTGTTTTGTAAAACTTGGATTCAGCCAAAAGGCCACACCCAAGGATCTAGAAGGCCACATATGGCCTCAAAGCCACAGGTTCCCCACCCCTGGGGTAGATAATACAGACTATTATTTTTTAATTCTCTTTTATTTTATCAGTTCCAAATTCTTTCCCTCCTCCCACCTGCTTCTTCTCTACCCATTGAGAAGGCAAAAAAAAAAAGAGAACCCATTACTAATGTATATAGTCATGCAAAACAAACTTCCATATTAGCCATGTCCTCCCCCCCAAAAAAAAAGCAATAAAAAGAAAGAAATAGAAGAAAATACGATTCAACAGATTGTCATATACAGATGAGGAAACAGAGACACAGAGAGGGGATGCGGTGCACAGGGCTAAAATTTTCCGAACTGAAAGATGAAGTCATCACTTTTGACTCCAAGACCATTGCCCTCTTTGCATTACACAATGATGGCGCCCATATACTGTTCTCTATCTCCAGAAGCATCATCCTTAAGGACAAGAATGAATAAGGGATGATGAAAAATGTTAATATTATCTACCCCTGGAGAGAGAACTGATGAACTCTGAGTCGAGATTAAAGCATACTTTTTTTTAAAACTTTTTTTTTCTTGTATGTATGTGTTCTTTTGCAACACAGCTAATATGGAAATATGGTTTGCATGACTTCACACATATAATTGATTTCGTATTGCTTACCTTCTCAAAGGGGACAGAGGGAGGAAGAGAATTTGGAACTCAAAATTTTAAAAAATGAATGTTAAAAATTTTTTTTATATATAGTTGGAAAATAGTTAACAAAAATAAAAATGTATTAAAAAAAAAAGAATGAATGAGGGAACTCATCCCTAGATAAAATGGCTGCTTTTGGGGAATATACATCTAGAAAGTTTACTATGAAGCTAGCACTCCAGCCAAGTCACTGGCTTTTTTCAGTAGGTGGGCCAAAAAACTATACATAGAGGGTTACAATGCTAAAAGTGGACCTTGTCATCACATACAATAAATAGTGGCAAAACAACCCAGCTGAAAAGAATTAAAGATATAGTATGATGGGCACATCACCAAAATTGGGGAGAAAACAGTCCTCATCCCCAAGAAGCTCCCTCCTACCTACATACACATTGGTCTTACAAACAGAAGGGAAAGAGAGGAAGAGGAAGGGGTCCAAGTCACTGTCCTAGATCCTACAGAGGCATCTTCTTTCAGTTTTGACATCCTTTCAGCAGCTAAAACCAAAGCACTAGGAGAAGGCATGGACAGGTTCTGGAGGGAAATGGAGTGCTGAATGGCATCCTTACTCTCATTCCCAAAATGGCCTCAAGGAACACACATGATGAGAAACCTGAGGTCATGGTTGGTTGAAACAGATATCCTGATGTTGATGTCACTCAAGGCACTTTCTGGTAGGAAACTGCAAGCATGAAGAGGACCCCACCCTCCCTAAAGCCAACAATTGGCTTAGGTCCAGGGCAGTGGAATTTCAAGTATGGACCACCCAGAAACATTTCTCATTCAACTCCTCCCCCATCCCAAAGCTGGCCTGAGAAGGAAGGCTCCCACAATGACACAATCACATAGATGATCAGAGTTGGAAAGGAGGTTTAGAAATTATCTTGTCAAACAGCTTGCAGAATACTGAGGTCCAGGAAGATTGAGTAAACTGGTCTAAATTCAGATGAGCCTTGAAGGGAATTAGTAGCTAGGGTGGAATGAGTTCATAGGTCTCTAGATTCCAAGAATACTGTTCTTTCCTACTCAGCTCCTGGAAATGGGTTACAGCTGGAGGGACCTATTTGGAAATGGGAGCTATTTGAAGTATGGCTAGCCCTGAGGCCTTTTGGGAAGGGAAAACCTCTTCTTCAAAGGTTACCCAACACCGAGGAGCATTTATTAAGCACCTACTATATATTAGGCACTGAAGCATTGTACTAGGCACAGATGCCCTGAGCATCTAAAAGTGTACAGGAGCACGTACAAAGAACAAAGCAGATTTGGCAACAGTTATCAGTAACCAGCTTTGTGACTTTGGTCAAATTACTTTGCCTTTCTGAGGCTCATTTTGCTCATCTATAAATGGAGGGAGGTGAACTAGATAATCAAAGGTCTAATAGCCTATGATCCTAAAGGTAGAAATAAAGCGTATAGGTGAGTTTCTTGAAAGCTGGGACTACTGTTATCCTTCCATATGGGGGGGATAAGGGTAGGGGGAGGTGTTAGGGGTTCAGTGCCCCCCCATCTGGAAAATCTGGAAAATGTTTTGGCCCTCCCTTCCCACCAGAGAACAAGTTTGAATTATATGATACTAAAAATAAAATATGTTGACATTATATAATACTATACATATATTTTACGCATTTTTGAGTTTCTAAACTTTTTCTGTATTGTCTTTGGCTTCAGCTAGGGTGACAACTGAGTGTATTGTCCACATACATACAATGTGGACTTTCAAGGGTGCCATGATGCCTCTCTGACAGTTCACCTTCCCCCTCACCTTCCCCCCAACCCTCCTTAATGGAGCTATGGCCACCCTACTCTCCACCCTTTGCCAGTTTTACATTTTTCTCTGGAGAAATAATTGCTAGTTAAAGCTTTACACACCACATCTGATTACCCAACCACTGACCCAAGACCTGATAGCTGTATTTTAATAGAATTGGTTTCCTTCATCATCCTATGTATTTTATTTTATATATTTAAAAACATGATTCTGGGGCAGCTAAATGACACAGTTAGATTGTCCGGCATTGAAATCAGGAGGACTTGTGTTGAAATCTGGCCTCAGACACTTACTAACTGCATGACCCTGGGCAAATCACTTAATCCCAGTTGACTCCAAAAATTAAAAACCAAAACCAAAACCATGATTTTGAAAAGAGGTTGGTAGGTTTCGCAGGACTGCTCAAAGGATCCATGCCACAAAAAAGGGTCAGAACCCCTAATCTAGCCCTACCTCCTTCATTTGGGGGCCAGAGAAGGAACTTGCCTGATTCACAGAGCTAAGTTGACATAGCTAACTGGCTTAACAGCCAAGGTTAGAACCTGAAGCTCTGGTGCCTTCAGCCAAGGTTCTCTCATTAAGCAACTTCATATTTGTACAAGATAGACACCTACAAAACTTCTGTTATTTGGCAACTTAGCTGGGTAGTGCCTTGAAAAAACAAAAATAAGGAAAGTGTGCATGTTTCTAGACAAACAACCATTGTGTTTACGGAAAGTGCCTGATGTTACAAATAGAAACTGTAACTCTCCTGTGGCACATTAGCTAGTATACTGGTTTGAATTATTGTTGAACTTTCTATGTGTTTTTTTTTTTATGAGAAGGTAAGACATAACTTCTTTTTTTAAATTTTTTTTTTTTGGCTAGGCAATGGGGTTAAGTGACTTGCCCAGGGTCACACAGCTAAGAAGTGTCAAGTGTCTGGTCTGAGACCACATTTGAACTCCTGACTCCAGGGCCGTGCTCTATCCATTGCACAACCTAGCTGCCCCTCAAGATATAACTTCTTGATAGATAGGCTATATTCTCTCCTGAGGGGAGACTGTCTTTTACCTCTCTCGATCCTCCAGGGTATGTTTTCTTACAGTAAATTACTGCCATGTATTGAGTAAACTGAGAGTGCTCAACAAATAATTACTAATCTAGGTGGCAGGGGATAGAGTGTTGGGCCTGGAGTTAGGAAGACTCATTTTCCTCAGAACAAAACCAGCCTCAAACACTTACTAGCTGTGTGATCCTGCGCAAGTCCCTTAACCCTGTTTGCCTCAGTTTCCTCATCTGTAAAATGAGCTGGAGAAGGAAATGGCAAACCATTTTGCCAAGAAAAGCCCAAATGGGGTCATGAGGAGTCAGACACAACAGAAAAATGACTGAAAATGATGAAATTAATAACAATTCTAATTTTCCATTTCTAAGATTATCAGTGGCATATGATCTTGGCCACAGTATTAAACCTGTTTTACTTGAGAGAAATAGGAACAAAGGGTGGATGTTGCAAAATGAAATATTTCTTGTCTTCAGAAAGCTTATGCTCTCTTCCCATTGGAGACGATATGGAAGGAATTCATACTTTAGGTATGAAGTTAGACTGGATGACCTCTGAAGTTCCTTCCCACTCTGAGATCCTCAGTCTGACTTCTCTTCAAGTCACTTCATCTGTAAAAATGGTGAAGTTGGAGTAGTGGGATGATGTACAAGGTCTTTAGAGGGTTAGATCAGATGACCTCTGGGGCATTCCCACGCCTGCCTATGATTTAACGCTGACAAGATCCGGAGTCACAAGCCCCTTCCCCCTCACCAACCACCAGCACCAGAGACAGGACGACAGAGTTTCACCCCTTACGATCCTGCCATGCCTCCTGGCCTAATGTTGTATGACTCTATGACCACACGTATTGAATTCCTTGCCATCCAGCGAAGAGGTCAGTGCTTTGAGTTCAGGAAGAGAAGATCCATTTTCATTTCAACCTGAGTCAAACAAAAATAAGATATTCAGTCTTCTGCCAAAAAATGAGGTAGGATTATAGGATTTAGAGTTGGAAGGGCCTTAGATAACATAGTCTAGTTTATCCCCTCATTTCATAGATGATGAAACAGTTGCTGAAAAAGGTTAAGAAATTTGCCAAATATGGGTAGTAAGTAGTAAGATTGGTATTCTAATCCAGGTCCTCTGGTTCCAAATTTAGAAGGCTTTCTACTTACTACACTATGTTGTTTGCATAAATTTGCCTCAGACTCTTACTAGTTGTATGAGCCTGGTAAACTCATTTAACCTTTTAGCCTCAATCTTCTCATGAAGGCGAGCAGGGTCCTACTTCAGAATTTTGCTGTTTTGAGTTGGCTACTTCAGCCACGGCTCCCCTGGTTTTACAAGGAGAATGAGTCCCTTTTGTATGTCACTTTGGATCTTAACCCCTTATATCTGATCCTCCTTATGACTTCATTATTTCTGTCTATAGTATCACCAATCAAATCACCCAACAGCAGCAACAAACATTTATTAAATGTCCACTATGTGCTAGCCATCTGGTTAGGTGCTAGGCATACAGATATAAAAGTGATATATTCCCTGCCCTCAAGAAGCTTACATTCTTCTGGAGGGGCAGCATTTTCACAGTAAGCAAATACAGAATATATAAAATATGAATACTCAGTGATAGGTGAGGCATTAACCACTGAGGAAATTGGAAGTCTTTTCAGTCTCTACTTCCTTTTTCATTTCTCCTCTCCCTTTTTTCCCTTATGTGATCTAATAACTTTCTATAACACTCTGCCATAAACCCTTATTGCCAACTATTTATTTCAATAATTTAACAGTTTTAACTTCTTAATGCTTTCTCCCCTTGCTAACATCTATCTTTCATATTTATGATAGCATCAATATGAAAACTAGTCTGCCATATGCATAGATTTGGTCATGTTACTTCTCCTCTCAACAATCTTCAGTAGCTCCCAACTGCCTACCAAGTAAAGTTCAAACTCTTAGCCTGGTATTTAAGGCCTCCACAATCTAGCATCACTTTTTTTTCCTTTAGTCTTTTATAATATTCTTTTTCTGCTCATACCCTGCCCTTCAATCAAATAGGACTACTCACAGCTCCCCACACATGTTTGGTGCTTTTCTTCTGTCCTTGCATTTTCTCGGGCTTTCCCCATCTTCTTCCCATCGCGTAAACCTTAAATGTCATTTTATCCGGGAAGTCTTCTCTGATCCTCCCTACTTTCCCTTACTTACAGATAAGAGCGCTAGAGTGGAGACCCGTCAAACTGAGCCAGTCGTTAAATTTTCGCTGTGCGCGTTTACATCTTGGAAATCAGCGAACTTAGTGTTTTGTTGATTGTTTAGACTTAAGAAAATCGAGAAAATGTTACTAATGCGGATCCTGCTACACTTGCCACGTATCTCTTCCATGTAACTTGTGTTCCAAGTTCTCTCTCCCCATGTATCAATGTCATGAGGGTGAAAACTGTCTCTCAGTGCGTTGCGAGTACTGAATTTGCAGACACTTAACAAAGGTTTATTGAATTAAAGTTCTATAAACTAGCTTCTTAAGTAAAATAAGCAGATAAATCACATAAACGCAAACAGCAGAAAACACGCAGTTGGAAGGAACTTGGATTTAGCGTCTGCTGAGGGACAATGCACAATGGAGTCAATGAACGATGGAGGCAGATTTGTCCATAAACCGAAGCGCATTTAGCTGATCCCATTAAACAGCCCAGTGCGGGCTTTTGGCTAAAAGCGGCAAAAGGTGGCGGCCAGAGGCCCGAGAAGTGCCAACGGGTCCTGCCTCCGGGAACCTCCTGAGGACTCGGACTACGCCACGCTCCACTCAGGGTCGTGTTTTCTGACGCTGTTCCCCGCGGGGTTTGGGACCTTTTCGATGCCCGACTGGACGCACAGTTCATGACCTGCCCTAACACCCGCTCCATCCCCTACTCCCATCCGGGTGCGGGGTTGGGTCGGTCCAGAAGCGGCTCAGAACTCCCAAACCTTGCCCCTGCAAGAGCTGCGCCCCGCACAAAGATGGCCGGGGGCACTTCGGCGCCCGTCACGTGACAGATACCAAGTGTCACATGACCTCCGCCCTACGGCTTCAGGGCTGCAGTGTCTCGGCACTTGCCGAACGCCGGGTGCTTTCGGGCAGCTCGCGCACTGTCCCTCCCCGGAGCTGGGGAGCCCCGCCATCCTCCTGAACCCCCACCGAAGATGGAACCCCTGAAACGCCGGAGAGAAGTGAGGAGCCCAGCCCAGCCCAGCCCTTCACACTCCCCACCTCGCGGCGTCACGGCTGGAGACCTCAGCCTTCCGGTAGGGAACTGGGAAGCTCGGGAGAGGAAACTGGAGGTGTCCACCCTGCATGCACATCTGGGGACCCTGATCCCGGGAGGGAAGGATGAAGAATACAGCGCAGAGACTGGGAATGGGATGAGCGAAGAGGCCTGGAGCCAAGTACCTGCTAGACACGAGATGGGTGTGGACTCCGTCCAGCCTCCTGGCCATCCTCGTCCCCATCCCTTATCCTCAAGCCCTCATCCTCGTCCCCATCCTAGATGGTTTACTGGGAAGCTGGGGTAAGACGCCAGCCAGTGGAAAGGATGGATGTATAGGAAAAGCTCCTCTTTGGGGTAGGGATGGTAAAAATGCCCTAGGTCAAAGGAAGGTAAGAGGTGCATCTGTGGTCACCCCCAAAATCAGTCCTGTCCTAAGTTATTCTTATTCTGATCTCAGGAACATCCCAAGGATTTGGTTAAAGTAAGCAACGTTGCAGCATGTATCTTGGGATTGCTTTTGCTTCAGATGATTTCCTGCACATCAAGTGAGTGACCAGAATAAGGAAGTGGAAGGGCACATAACTCATAAAGGGGGTGGAGACACTGAGAACAGAAACTTTTTTAGTACTTCTTTCGTGCAGTGCTGGGTACATAATGGATACCAGAAAATGTTTAATTTTGGAAAAACTTGGGTGGAAGGAAAGGCACACACAAGAGGAAACCACTCCTCTTCTGCCGTTTGCCCCTGTTTTCCTTGACTATTTCCCATCCTCCTGTGTATCACTCCAGGTGCCCGTCCTTGTGTTCCTCAAAGCTTTGGCTATAGCTCCGTAGTCTGTGTCTGCAATGCCACCTACTGTGACTCGCTTGATCCTGTAATGCTTCCTGAATCTGGTACCTTCAGCCGCTATGAGAGTACCCGAAGTGGCCGGAGGTTAGAATTGAGCACTGGATCTCTCCAGAGCAACTGGACAGGCACAGGTAATCACTCCTTCCCCAGCTCAGGTAGATCTAGGACCTCTCATGGAACCAAGAAACTCAAGGCTTTTGGGCCCAGGGATGCAGACAAATCACCTAGTGTTCTGGACTAGGATGAGATCCTTTCATCAAGTACTTTTTCTCTCAACTCTCCAGGGTTGCTTCTAACCCTTCGCCCAGACCAGCAGTTCCAGAAGATAAAAGGCTTTGGAGGGGCTATGACTGATGCTGCTGCCCTCAACATTCTAGCCCTGTCACCCCCTGCCCAGGACTTACTCCTTAAGTCTTATTTTTCTTCAGAAGGTGAGATATTTTGAGTTTGGGAAAGGGATTCTATGGGAATATCTGTCTGTTTCCTTTGATCCAAGGGATTTCTCCTTCTCTTCTCAAAGTCCCCTACATTTCCATATCCTCTCCCCTTCATCCTATAAACTTCTGAGAGTCCTTGGGCCTACTCTTCTTCCAGGTATACCTGGGTTCCACAAACCTTGATCCAAATGCATCAGTTTTCCAAACTAGACTTTCGTGTGCTGCAGTTCAGGTTTTGGAGGTCTCCTTCTCCCCCCAACCTGGCTATCTGAGCCATTGCTTTTTCCCAGGCATTGAATATAACATCATCAGAGTGCCCATGGCCAGCTGTGACTTCTCTATCCGTGTCTATACCTATGCCGACCACCCTGAAGACTTCCAGTTGAATAATTTCAGCCTCTCTGAGGAAGACACCAAGCTCAAGGTGGGCATAATTGGCATAAAGTGGCCTTGCTTCCTCGAGGGTAAAGAAGCGTCAAGCTGAGGAAGTTACTGAAAGTTACATGACCCCCACCCTCAGCCACCCCGAGATAGTTATGGAGGAACCAGGGCGGGAACCAAAGACTGGGCCTGATACACTGGTTAAGCCAGTCACTATGTCAGTTTCTTCACCTCTGTCCCTCACTATCTACCTATCCCTTCAGATTCCCCTCATTCACCGAGCTCTGGCCTTGGCCCAACGCCCTACCTCACTCTTTGCCAGCCCCTGGACAGCGCCTACTTGGCTTAAGACCAATGGGGCAGTGAATGGGAAAGGGTCACTCAAGGGAAAACCAGGGGACAAGTACTACCAGACCTGGGCCAAGTACTTTATCAAGTAAGTATTGGGCAGGGTGGGAAGTGGAGAGGTTAGCCCATGGATACTTTGATATTTGCCCTGTCACTCTGGTTCTCCTATCTCTGAATCTTTGAAGTCTTATCCTACCGTACCAGTTTCTAGATCTCCTAGACTTAAACTTTTTGAGCCTTTCCAAAGCATCATGAACTTTCTCTCAAATCCCAATGTAGGGATCACCATTTTCCTTGTTCTGCATCTCTCTTTAGGTTCCTGGATGCTTATGCAGAACATAAGTTGAGGTTTTGGGCAGTGACAGCAGAGAATGAACCCTCAGCAGGATTGATAAGTGGGTATCCCTTCCAGTGCCTGGGCTTCACTCCAGAACTCCAGCGGGATTTTGTTGCCTTTGACCTAGGCCCTGCCCTTGCTCAAAGTGCTCACCACGACATCAAACTACTAATACTGGATGACCAACGCCTTCTACTGCCTCACTGGGCACGGGTGGTAAGGCCTTAGCCACCCAAATCATATGGGTCCCTTTTAGTCCAAGACCCTTGTCTCAGGATATCTTGATTCCCTTGATTTTGGGGTACCCTTCTCTGGTCCCTAGATATTTAGAGTTCCAGAAACTTAGGACATCTTTTTTCTAGATGGTCATCTTGATCTTGCCAGGTCTTCCTAGGTTTCTATCATTTTGACTCTTCTTTGCCCCCCACCCCCAATTCTATACATTCATGTTTTCCCCCTCCTTTAAGACCCATTCTTCTTCCTCTCCTAGGTGCTGAAGGACCCTAAGGCAGCTCAGTATGTCTCTGGGATAGCTGTGCACTGGTACCTGGACTTCCTGGCCCCAATTAATGCCACGGTGGGGGAAACACACCGCTTGTTTCCGGATGTGATACTCTTTGCTTCTGAAGCCTGTGTGGGTTCCAAGTTTTGGGAACAGAGTGTGCGGCTAGGTTCCTGGAGCCGAGGGACACGATACAGCCATAGCATCATCACTGTAAGTCTCACCTGTATCAAGCTAATCTCATGATTCTTCTTTCTCCAGCCTCATAATAAATACTTAACTTTGGTTAGTCAAGGGGCATTGGGATAGACAGTTTTCTTTTCCCCTGCACAACCATATTTTCCATGGTACTTTTTTTTTTTAGTGAGGCAGTTGGGGTTAAGTGACTTGCCCAGGGTCACACAGCTAGTAAGTGTCAAGTGTCTGCCATTTGAACTCAGGTCCTCCTGACTCCAGGGCTGGTGCTGTGCCACCTAGCTGTCCCTCCATGGTACTTTCTAGGACACCTAGGCTCCTCGTCTTAACACCAGATCTTTGTTCTCTGCCCCTCCAGCTACATTCATCTCTACTTCTCCATGATTTCCTGGCTTCTTCCCAGATAGCCTTATCCTGGTTCCTTCTCCCTAGATCCCCAGGCTCCTAACCCAGGGCTGAACCAGCTCAGCTGTCTTTTTGCCTCCCCCACACATGACCCTCATTGCCTTCTCAGATGCCCCGGGGCTGAGCCTAAGTTTCCTTGTCTCTGTCCCACCCCCTGCACAGAATCTTATTCACCACGTGGTAGGATGGACAGACTGGAACCTTGCCCTGAATCCTGAAGGGGGGCCCAACTGGGTACGCAACTTTGTGGACAGTCCCATCATTGTGGATATAGGCAAGGACAAGTTTTACAAGCAGCCTATGTTCTACCATCTTGGACACTTCAGGTGAGTCAGCAAGGTGTGTACAGATGAGAAGAGGGAGAGAGAGGGAGGGAAGGAGAGAGAAAGGGAGAGAGAAAGAAAGAAAGAAAGGGAGAGGAAGGAGCTGGAAGTGGAAGGGTTCCATGAAGCAGGATCCAATCAAAAGTGGGAATGCCATGTACCTGGCCCACCTATACAGGAAAAAGTCCTGGAAGAGGTATCTCTCAATAGAATATTCAGGGTGCTGGGACAATGGCCATTCATGTTCTGAGAGTCAGAAGAGAAGGGTTCATACAGTTAGAAGGCACTTGGGAAGCTTCCAGTCTACCTTCCTCATTGTATAGCCCCAGAGAAGTCAGGTGACTTGTCCATGGTCACACAGCTAGATACGTATCAAGAAGCAGGATTTGAAGCCAGGTCCTCTTGGCTCCCAAGTCCAGCAGTCTGTCCTCTGTGCTGCATTTCCATGGACACAGAAGAAGGATGTTGGAGATTTCCTCCCAGAGAGCAGCTAGGAGCTTGGCCCAGATGGATGAGGGCTGGAGCCCTGATTCTGTCTGTCTTGTGTTCCAGCAAGTTTATTCCTGAGGGTTCCCAGAGGATAGGACTGGATGCCAATCAGAACACCAAGCTGGAGACAGTGGCCTTACTGCGCCCTGATGGTGCTGTTGTGTTAGTGGTCCTCAATAGGTGAGTAGGATGGGAAGGTGGGTGCTGTGTGGAGCTCTGGGACTGCCAAGGTAACAGTGCCCGCTAGGGGGAGCATTCTCTGACTTGTTCCTCTCTTCCCCAGCTCTTCCCAGGACGAACCTCTTACCATTGCAGATCCTGCTGTGGGCTTCATGCAGACCTTGGCACCTGCAGACTCCATTCAGACATACCTCTGGCAGCGCCAGAAATGAAGTGGGCATGGGGGTAGCTGTGCTTGGGTAGTGGGCATTAAAAGGATGGAGCTAACTCACCCACTGCTTCTGCCTGGAGAGACCTGAAGCAGGGGGGTGGGTTGAGGAAAGTAGGGGGAAGATCTAAACTGCTGAGCTGTGGTTTGGGTGACTCACTCTCCCCTCCACTCAGTGCCAGGGGCTTGAGGCCCCTAGGGGAGTGGGAGGGGGAAGCCCTGGTCCCCTCCAGCATGCATGTATGAGTATGTGCTCTGTGCCGGCTATGGAAACTGGCCTTGTGCCCAGAGTGAGCTCACTGTCTGTACAAACAGCAGATTCAGGGGAAAGGGTGGTAAGAGAGATGGAGCTGAGACCAGCAAGGATCGGGAAGGTAGGGAAGCCAGACAACTGAAGTGAGGAGAAGAGTGCTTTCCCAGGGACATGGGCTGGTTAAGGAAGCCAGGTCCTCCAGGGGAGGAATTGTTAGTGCTGATAACCAAGGACTGTGCAGATGGCACTACAGGGAGAGACTCTCTGACACCAGGCCACTTTGAGCAAATTTATTCCAGGGGTGGAGATGACCACCCCATCTCTGGAAGTACCCCAAATGGAGACAGACAGGGGCCATTTGGAATGCACAGCAGTAGAAAAGTCAGTTCAAGTAACATCAAGATGTCATTCATCCTCCTCTTCCTCAGCAATACCCAAGGCCCGGGTGCCTGATGTTCGGGCAGGAGCTGCCCGCTGTATAGAGACAATGCCACTGAGGAGGGCGTAGCCCACCATAGCTGCCAGGCCGGCCAACACTGACAGAATTTGCTCTCTTCGCCGGTATGGTTCTTCATCAGTCTCTGAAGTTGAAGGTGCTGGACGCGGGGGTGGTGCTTCAGCTGAGGGAGAGGAAGAGGAGGGGAAGAATGTTAAGTGAACAATGGGGTCAGAAGACAAGAGTTTTTGCGTATTGTGTCCTTCACCAATGCCCTTCCATCTCACCTCCATCCCAAGGGAAGTACAGACTGAGGATGTGGTTGCAGTAAGCACACAAGTTGCTCAGTCCTCGAACATGGGCCTGTAGTTTTCCATTAGGCAGCTTAGCCTGAAGCAGCAGGGCCACATAGCTGAAGACAAAGGCATCCAGAGAGGCAGGACTGGGGCAGAAATAAGACACAAAATCAAGGAAATACAGAGATTGGGGCTAGAGAAGATTTGGTGAAAATGGAGATGCAGAGAGAGAATAAAGCCATAAGCCTGGGGTGAGCTGTCAGAGCCAGACCTGGGGCATTAGCAAGACTTAGGTAGGAAGACAGAAAGGCACACAAAGTCTTAGATACACGTTCAGTCCCCCAGGTACTGGTGGTGGGTGAGCCTTGAATGGGGCTCTGTCCCAATACTGGATAAAGAGCACATTGAGTAGGGCTGCAGCCCTGTTAAATTACTACCCCATGATCCTGGCTGACTACACAACCCTCTCCCTACCAGAATGGATTCCCTGGTCCTACATACAGCCCCATTGTCACCCAGAGTTTATGCTTACCTCAAACAACCTGACCCCCCAGGAAGGAGACAGGGTGTCTTATCCTTTTCCCAAATCCTACCACAGTCCCTGCTTACCCACCTCTTGCCTCATTCTGCCCCAAAGTCCCTCCTCCTTTTGCCCATATAAGCATCCTTCTGTTATTCACCCATGACCAGGCAAAAAGCCTTGTGGTCTCCAAATTAGCCCACTCCAATCTGATCCTCCCAAACCTCCTTGCCCACCTCTGCCCCTTCCCCAAAATGCCTCTAGGCTCAGACTCACGAGTCTCCAAAGAAGAACTTCTGGGAGCCCAGGCGCTGAGACAGCAGGGTCAGGCACTCCCGGGCCTCTCGATACAGCTAAGGGCAGGGGGGAGAGAGAGTGGGGCAGCCTCAGGAACAAAAGCACAGGTAGCCTCACCTCTTGGGCACTGTAACCCCACATTTCCGACCCAGCCAGCCCAGGCCCCCTGAAACTTGAGACCCCCCCCAGCTCCCTGTAACCCCTTCCCCAAAGGTACCTCCTTCTCTACTTCCTCCTCCTCCATGGGCCTGTGTTCCCCACATAAGAGCTGGAGCCGCTCCAGGTGTTTCTTCTGCATTCGGCCTGGTAAGAACAGGTTGAGGGGGAAAGGCATGGCTTCGGCGTACCACTTTCGAGTCAGCTCCACATAGTTCTTGGCATCAACCCAGAAAGTGTGGATCTAGAAGGGGACAGGAAGGGAGGAAGGGGGCGATGACTGTCCAGGCATCTAGGCGGCTCCATCTCCAAGGACATCTGCACTGTGTCCTTGGCATCTCTCTGGCCTATCTAGCCCTGTCAATCTTTGTCGAGTAAAACAGGGGATTAGGGGCCAGACCACTGGGCACTTCAAAAATGCAGGCATCTCACCAACACAGGCAGCAGTTTCTCCTCTAGAAGCGACATGAAGGCCAAGGTATCTGCCCCCTGCCGGGCTGAAAGATCATAGTCTGCATTGTATTTCTGTGGAGGAAGCAGTCATGAAGTGGATATTAGGGGAGTACCTAGGCCTTGCTCCCCCAGACTTCCCTTAAGAACTTCCCCTAGTTATCCCAAATAGTAAACCCTAGGATGGCTTTGGGTTTGGAGCAAAGACATTTCCCCTTCGTTACGGCCCCCACGTCTGGACTCAGCCAGTGGCCTGTTGGTGTTGGCTGAGTGCCCATCCCTTAGAACTTGCCAGCCAACAGGGCCTTGCGCCTGTTGCAGGGGGGGAGGCCCAGCCACAAACTCGGAGTGGCTCCCAGAGTTTCCTCGGAAAGCTGGCACTGTGCCTACTGGAGGCTCCTCTCTGACAGCAGCCTGCCTCTCCTCACACTCATATAAATACCACAAAGAAGCCAGAGCAATACCCAGAGGCAGGTTTGTCTCTGTATCTCCTCAGGAGCCCAGGGGACCCTAACACAGCAGAATGGAAGGAGTGTGGCCTGTTATTTCATCCTTTAAGCCACAATCTTCTTTGTTTTAATTTTTTTTTCAACTACCAAGCATATATTTTTTCTCCCTTCAACCTCCCCCCACCCCCACTGAAAAATAAAATAAAACTCTTGTAACAAATCTGCATAGTCATCCTAATGCCAGAGACCAAATGGCTTTAAAATTCCCTGACTACCATGCTTGACTCTTTGCTAAAATTTAGCTACCTCACACCAAGGCCAAAAACCCTTTTCTTCTTCATACTCTCCCCAGGGGCTATGTCTAGTCTACGTCTCAACCTCTCCTACCCACCCCCTGTTATCACTTTCCCAATCCTTCTGTTCCCTGACCCGTGTCTTATCTTTGGCTCCCGAAGATCGTATGATGCAATTTCCTTCTTACCCAGAGCGTTTTCATTTGCTTTCAGCCTTTATCTACAAAACCAGTTATTCCCTCAACCCCTCCATGCTTAGAAAAATAAAAATTGAAAATGGAGGACAAGTATTCTGTCCAACCCACCACCAATATCCCTTGGGCTCAGAACGCCTGCACCCGACCTGTTTTCTTAGATGAGTGATGATCTTGTGTGGCTGTGAGATGACCCCAACATCACTAGTCCGGAGGGCAGGCAAGGTTCCTGGGGTAGAAAGACAAAGACCATATTTGTACGTGCACTAAGTGAACATTTGTTAAAAATTTATGTGCAAAATAAAATGAAGTCTACTATTTTCCAGAGCCTGCAGGGGATTGAATGGGGTGGGTGGTGGGTGAAAGTGAAGCTCTTCCTAGAATTTCTCTTAAAAAATATATTTGGATTCCCTTTATCTCTTCTCCTCTTAAGTACATCCCACCCAACCCTCCCAGCCAACCATTAGATATCAGTGGGTACCTGAGGGGCTCCTCCAGGGATTGGTGATCTTGTGTACCTTGAGAGGGGCCCCAGTGAATCTGGCATAGGTCTGCAGGGAAGGAAGGGAGGAGGCAGTGAAGCAGTGCCCATTAGGAGGGACAGCTCAGGAAGAACTTACAATGTTCCTATCAGGAGGGGTAAGAAGGAAGGCACTGCCATGATGGGGCCTTTGTCCCTCCATATACAACATGTGACAATGCTTTTTTTTGGTGAAGAATTATAATATCTGAGGTTAGGCCTGGAGTTAGAGCATGTGTGGGCTTTGTATTTACAAATGGAAATGACTTCATAGATCATCTTAGTTCAACCCCCATTTTGAGGGTCCTTAATGGACCTATGATTTCACAGGTTTTGTAATAAGTTCTTGTTGTGGAAATTCCCTCTACCAATGCAGTTCTGCAAATCCACTGCAACTTATCATCTTACAGTGGTTGTTATGTGTTAGAGGCAGGATTACTTCCAGAAAGCCAAGCTGCCTCTCAACTCCTTCATTTTATTTATGATGAAACTTGGTTTGGAGATTAAAGTCACCCACCCACAGTCACCCACCTAGTAACTGGCAGAGGCAAGACTGGCTATTTGCACTAAAACACAAGGCTGCTAGTACTAACTCAAGACACGTGGTTCTCTATCAGACCCAGGAGGAATCTTATTGGTTCAACCCCCTCCTGGTATAGAAGAAGAAACCAAGACCCAGGGAGGCAAAGTCCAAGGTCATGAGGCCAGTAAATGGCAGGGCCGGGATTTGAACCTAGGTCTGCAGACTCTAAAGCCAGGGGTCTACCTGGCTGTGGGATAAGGGTTCTTAGAGATCGTTTGGTAGCCAGATGATCACCTGGGCACTAGATTCTAGTTCAAACCTTTTGCAGGTACGGGTACTGAGACCACTTTACCAAGGTCATGCAGTGAGTAAAATGGCAGAGGCGGGATTTCACTCACTCCTGTTCCCCTTCCACTGGACTGCGCAGCGGGTCGGGAGCCACGGATGCCCACCTCGGCCTCGGCACGCTTACCTCCTGCCTCAGTTTCCCCCATGCCACCCGCGCCGGGTCTCTCGCTTCCGACCTCAGGCTCACCTCCCCAGCCCCTGAGCGGCCCCGGCTCTTCGGCCCAGCGGGGTTCCCGCCCTCACCAGCACCACGAGGCTCTCCAGGTCCACGGATGGCAAGCCCCAGCCCCCAGCCCAGCAGTACAGTTCCATGGGCGCCGCCATCTTTCCCGCCCTCTGTCCCGGAAGCAACTCCAAGCTCTCCGAGCACCAGTGGGCGGGGTACCCAGGAGGCCGGGCAGAAATCTGGGGGGCGTGGCCACGAGCCGAGGCAAAGCGAGGCCGCCCGGGGGAGGGGCTACGGTGTCCAGGGTGGTGGGGGGCTCGCTTTGGGGCGGGGCTACGGGGCGGGGCGGGGAAGGGGCTGAGGTGTCCAAAGTGGTGGGGGGCTCGCTTTGGGGAGGGGCTACGGGGCGGGGCGGTGCTGCGGTGTCCAGGGTGGTAAGGGGCTCGCTTTGGGGCGGGGCTATGGGGTGGAGCGGGGGAGGGGCTGCGGTGTCCAGGGTTGTGGGGGGCTCGCTTTGGAGAAGGGCTACGGGGCGGGGCGGGGGAGGGGCTGCGGTGTCCAGGGCGGTGGGGGGCTCGCTTTGGGGCGGGGCTACGGGGCGGGGGAGTGGCTTCGGTGTTCATGACGGTGGGGGGCTCACTTTGGAGAGGGGCTACAGGGTGGGGTCGGGGAACGGTTGTGGTGTCCATGGGAGTGGGGGGCTCGGTCCGGGCAGAAACTGTAGGGAGGAGAGGGAGAAAGGCCTTGGAAATGGAGACTGGGGGACCGCTGTGAGGAACGGCCCAGGCTCCGGGCCGAGGTCCTGATCAGGGTTGGAGGAGGGCCTCCCTTGGCCGCGGAGCTGCAGTGTTCATCGAAGTCTTTCACCAAGAATAAGCCCCAGCTCTTCTTCTGTTGGAAGGAGGGGCTTCTGTGGCCTCGGGTGCCCCGGGCCCCCGGGGGGAGGCTGCCCCCGAGGCGGGGCGCGGGGGGGTGTCCCCCGAGCTGCATGCTTTCCGAGGCGCGTTATGTTTGGAGCAGCCCGCGCTCCTTGTCTCCATGGAAACAAAACAGGGGCGGTGGCCTGGCCCCGAGGCTGGGCGGGGTGAGGGGGATAGAAGAAGGGGGAGGACTCGTGGACTGTTGTCTTGGAAACAGAAGCTGATCCCCCCCATCCCTGTCTCAACCCTCTACCCTGTTTCCCTGTCCCCATCTCCCTCACCTTCCAAACTCAAATGATTCCCAGTTCCCCTCCACCCTGATGTTCTCTTCCTTGAAGTTCCCCTCTCTTCTCGACTTCTATAAGTCCCCCACCCCCACCCCGAGTCGGCTTCTTCTGTACCCACCCTTCTAGGCTCCAACTTGTCCAGGCATTAAGGACACTAAGGAAGAGAGAGAAACATAGGAATCATCAGTGTTCCCTCTCCCTTTTCCCGCATCTTGACATGGTGGGTTAATAACCTTCAGCTTGTAAGCATCCCTAAGGCAGCCTAGTCACTGCCGTTGCCCTGGCGTATTCTCACGCCAGGAGTGGAATAATGCCCACAGATTCTCTAGCATTAGCTTCCCCCTATCTCCCCGCTAGCTACTCCCACCTTCTAAAAAGCTTGGCTAAGAGATATATCTACATTCTCCATCGTGATAGGAACACTGGGGAGGGTGGGATTCCCCAGAAATATATGTGAGGGAGAAAGTGAAAACTCTGGGAGACAGTGCCAAGGCGTTGGCGGGAGAGGTGAGCAAGAACTTTGTAGCTGAGAGGCCTCTGGTTTTCTTCCTCCAGAGCTCCTGGAGTTGTAGAGCTGGGGATGCCTCAAGGTTGATTGGCAGTTCTTTGTTCCTGCCCCCCTCCCTCGCCCCGCTGGCTCCCCCCTGCTCCGTTCCTCCGCCCCCCCCTCCCCTCCCCTCCCTCCGCCTTGCCTTTCCCCTCCCAGCTCCTGGGGTTGTGAGCCGGCTCATCGGCATGGAGACGCAGGAACTTCGGGGGCCCCTGGCTCTTCTCCTCCTCTGCTCCTTTGCCTCTGCTAGTCAGGACCTTCAGGGTAAGCCTGCCCCTACACCCTTTGTCCCTTCCCAGCCAATCTCCCAAACCCTTCATGCTCCTGACTCAAGGAGCTGGGAACGTGTGAGTGGCGGAGACGTGAAGCAGGGGCCAGAGATGGAGAGGAGAGAATTAAACTAGAATTGAGAGATTGAGCTGATGGGTAAAAGAGGGGCATCAGCTAAGGCCAGGTATGATGCCAGGGCAGGAAGCTCAGGGGTTACCAGGAATTGATTGCCTGTAAGGTGACATTTTAGAATCTATGAATACCGGCAAGGAGTTTGGAGAGCATTTTGAAGGTAGACTCTGGTGCAGACAGAGATTAGCCCTCGTGTCCATCTACTGCACCACTCTGTCCCTGTGGTCCTGGTTGCTCCTGAGAAAGGGGAAGGTAGAGGTCCCTACTCTCCGGGAGGTCTGGTGGTAGGATGGGCTGTGTCCATGGGTGTGGGAGAGGTGGGGAATGGGGGTGGGGAAGACAACACAGATGCAGATTCTTTCCTCAGTTTGAGTAGAAACCACAGATTAGCCACAGGACATAGCAGCTGAAGGAGCTGTGGTCCTGGATCTCTCTAGTGGGAGGTGGAGGCTGACCAGATAGCTTGGTGGAGATTTCATGGAGCAACTATACTTCACCTTAAATACTTGTATTGAACGCCAGAGAGCCAGGACAGGAGGGGACCAAAATGCAGGGTGAACTGAAAGCCAACTATGGGGAGAAAATACAATTTAGCACAGTGTGCGCCAGGTGCCCACTTTTCCCTGGTTTTGGGATAGTGGCTCCTTGGCGCCACCTACTGGAAATATCTCTGGATTTCTTTCACCTCTGGGTTTGGTATTCCAATTTGCAACCAGAACCCGTAACAGAAGAGGGAAATGTCTTTTAAGAGGGTACCAACCTCTGGCTCCACTTGCCAGCAGCACCCAGAGGAGCCCAGGAGGAGGCTGAGGATCTCTAAAGATGGAGTCTGTACTTTTGCACTTGCAGCCAGACTCTAACTCTGGTGCATTCTACTCTGGCAGTGATTGACCTGCTGACTATGGGTGAGTCTCGGCAGATGGTGGCCATGGCAGAGAAAATCCGGACAGCCCTACTGACAGCTGGAGATATCTACCTCCTGTCTACTTTCCGACTGCCTCCCAAACAGGGTGGTGTTCTCTTCGGCCTCTACTCTCGCCGTGACAACACTCGTTGGCTAGAAGCCTCTGTCGTAGGCAAGATCAACAAAGGTAACGCTTGGGCACCATCTTTCCCACTCTAGGGTGACCTGTGGCGGATACATTTGATCTACATTGAGTATTTTCAACCCAGCCTCTATGCTCCTTTATGTCCTACTGGGGAACAATGTTGTCTGACTGGCCAGGGATCAGTCTTGAGTACCTTCTTGATAAGTTCCCAGGGTCATCCAGGGGCATTTCAAATGCCCAAGAGAGAGAATATTCAAATAGCAGGATGAAGACTGGGGAGTAAGAGGAGAAAGACCTCTTTTGTTGGGGGGCTTTCATGTCTCGGAGGGATATATATATCATGATCCCTGGAGGTGGTGGGGAAGTGTAGGGTTCAGTGGGTCCAGAACCTCATTCTCACCTTCCTAGCGGAAGCAGAAGTCTGATGGCAAAGGTGGGGGGGGGAGAAGAGAATGAATTTCTAACCTTCAAACGTTGGCAGCTCTAAAAGGCAATCTGATGCCCAAGTAACACTTAACCACTGTTCACTATTGGAGGGGAAAACTGTAGCACATACTGACCCTACCCTTTCTGGGCAGTGTTGGTCCGGTACCAGCGGGAGGATGGGAAAGTACATGCCGTGAACCTACAGCAAGTGGGCCTGGCAGATGGACGTACTCACACTGCCCTATTGCGCCTCCGTGGCCCTTCCCGGCCTAGTCCTTCTCTACAGCTCTATGTGGACTGTAAGCTAGGTGATCAGCATGCTGGGCTCCCCGCATTGGCCCCTATTCCTCCTGCTGAAATTGATGGGCTAGAGGTTCGGACTGGCCAGAAGGCTTATCTGAGAATGCAGGTGAGTAGAGAGAGGACTTTGGTGTGTGTGTGTGGGGGAAAGCAACAAAATGAGAACCAATGGCTAAAGTCTTGCTCTCTTCCTGTCCTGACAGGGCTTCATAGAGTCCATGAAAATGGTTCTGGGGGGATCAATGGCCCGAGTCGGGGCACTGAGTGAATGTCCATTCCAAGGGGATGAGGAGTCCATTCATAATGCAGGTGATACACTGACTTTGGATCTTTGATCCTTGACTCTCATGGACTCTGGACCTCTTGATCGACAATTCCCTTGACCCACAACTCCCTTGATATTTAGCTCTCCTGCTTTCCCTTTCCATGGGTTTCTGACTCTGTGATCTCTTTATTTTTGACTTTATAACCTTAAAAGGGTTACATCTAGGGGGTGTGGGGCCCAAGGCAAATTATCCTCTGTGGTTCTTATTCTCGAACATTTTTATTCAAGTGGCATTAGGTTATAATGAATACCAAAGGAAACTTAGAAGGAGAAAAGAATTTTAAAAGAAAGGGCAATATCAAACTTGATATGGGAAATGTGAAAGCCAATAGGGACATAGGAAAAGATATTTTGGTGATAATGAGTCTATATAACCATAAATGTTATCTTTTTTTTTTAAACATCAACTGGTCAGATACCATTGCTGCCTTCTTCTCCTCCTCTTTTTTTGACATCTGCTTCCCTTAGTAACTTTCCAGCTGCCTGGTCCCTGTAGCGAGTGGAGCCCCCCAAAGTATAGGGATTTAGGCAGTTACCCCAAGTAAGGTGCTGTGTCCTAGGCCCAGTTCTGTCCTTTCAGAGCCTCATAAGTCATGATCTGAACTCAGCTTTCCCAGTACTTCTTGTATGTTCACATGCCCGTCTTTCCAATCCATTCTCTCTTGCTTTCTCCGTCCCTTTTTTAGATGTGCTATCCCATGATGGTTCTATCTTTTTACTATGTTGTCTTCTCTCCTCTAGTGACTGGAGTACTTCACTCTATCCTAGGTGAGCAAAGAGGGGTGATGATGTGGGCACTGGCGATGCATGAGGCGAGATCATTGTGTGTGTGTGTGTGTGTGTATGTGTATGTGTGTGATCAGTAGTTGGGCCCATTTGGTCTGGATGGATTAAAAAATAAGGGATAAATTAATACCCAAGTTATATTTCTGGGTGGAGGCCATGGTCCCAAAAGCACCTCGGGTGTATCTTGGGTGATCCAGTGACCAACATATGCCTGATGCTCACAAGTTTTGAGACTTTTGATACCATCCCATTTCTCCACAGGTGAACAGACTAAGGCACTAGTTACCCAACTCACCCTCTTCAACCAGATCTTGGTAGAGCTTCGGGAGGACATCCGGGACCAGGTTAGAGGCTGGGACCAGAGGATTACGAAGTGGGGATGTGCCAGTGTTGACCATTCCTCCCATCCTGGTTTTTTTTTTCAGGTTAAGGAGATGTCCTTGATCAGAAACACCATCATGGAGTGTCAGGTGTGCGGTGAGTGGGAGGTCCTGGGGAGGGACCAAGGTATGGCTGCTGTGTCTCCTCCAGCTCCTCTGCCCCTGTCCTTCATGCTCCTGTGGTTCCAATCCTGCTACCCATCTCACACAGCTCTGTGCCCATTGGTCTCCTTTGTTTCCCCTCAATCCTCTCAACTTCCCTCCACCCCATGGTGCCCCTCTTGGTGGCTCCTGATGATGCCCATCCCCCAGGCTTCCACGAGCAACGTTCCCACTGTAGCCCAAGTCCCTGCTTCCGTGGTGTGGACTGCATGGAGGTCTACGAGTACCCAGGCTACCGGTGTGGGCCTTGCCCCCCTGGTCTTCAGGGCAATGGCACCCACTGTACTGACATAAATGAGGTGAGAGGGAAAAAGCTAAGGATGGCAAAGGGAAGAGTGGGGAAATAAATGATGAAAGACATAAGAAAAAAGGGAAGGGAAATACTAGGATGATAAGAGGACTAAAGGGTAAAGGGATAAAGAAGGGGACTGAAGGGGATGGGGTAGATGTTGAAGGGATACAGAGGGAACTGGAACAATTAGTAGGAGGGAT